CCCAGACGCTCTGCGGCTCTTGTTATATACCGCTGCCGGGGACGCCCTCTGCTGGCATCGCCATGGCGGGAGCGGGCGCCTTGCGTTGCGAATGCGAGTTGTTTGTTAGATGCATGGTGGTCTCAGCAGTAATCGTCGCTACGGGATACTGCCAGGGGGAGCGTCTTTGTCCGATAAAATTCGTTTGCGTAATTTTACGTCCTAACGTTCGCATTAATGTTATATGTTTTTCTCGTGGATTGTTGACAGAAAAGTGGTGAAGTTGCGAGTTTCTTGTATACAGCATACAGAGGTCCGGTGTGCGTGGAAATAGTTCTTGTTAAGACTTGTTTCTGACGACACCCCCCCTTCCCCCGATGTTTAGCAGTTTGTGGGCCTGATCCGTACGTACGCGCACTTGTTAGTTATCGATCAACCGAGATCGTCTGCTCGCGCGCTCCACTGGCTGTCGCGCGGCGGACGCCATGACGCGTTCTCTTGTTTTGCGCTGCAGGGGCGACCACACGTCAGTGGACTTCTACCTGGCCGTGTTGCCGCCGAAGACGGAGGTGGTAGTGTTCAGCATTGACGGCTCCTTCACCGCCAGCGTCTCCATCATGGGCAAGGACCCAAAGGTGAGGAACTCGCAGTCCCGTAGATGGCAGCACATATATATATGTATGCACCATGCACACACGCACGCATATATATATATATATATATTTATTCATACATACGTATATAAACTATATATATATATATATATATGTGTGGGTATATATTGTAAGGTAATAAACATTTAACGAATATGGAAACGATTTCGTAAAAGATAATCGGCGATAAGGACGGATTCACGCAGGTTTTCGGGCGTTTCGCAAACCCTCCGCCCGACCATTTTCGCGAGGCATCGCCCTCCGACTCACCCCGCGGCGCCCCCTGCCGGTCTCGTTTGTTGCAGGTTCGCGCGGGCGCGGTGGACGTCGTGCGGCACTGGCAGGACCTCGGCTACCTGATCCTCTACATCACCGGTCGGCCCGACATGCAGCAGCAGAAGGTCGTGTCGTGGCTCGCCCAGCACAACTTCCCCCACGGCATGGTGTCGTTCTGCGACGGCCTGTCCACCGACCCCGCTCGTCACATAGACCAAACTATCTACGCAGCCTACCCACGAGTGGTGGTGTGGGGGTGAGGGCGGGAGGTGGAGGATGAGGGAGCAGGAGGGAGGAGGCATGGTTGTCGTTCTGCGACGGCCTGCCCCGACCCGCTACGTCAAGCAAGACCAACTATCTACGCAGCCTCACACACGGGTGGGGGTGGTGGGGGAGGGAGGGAGGGGGAGGATGGAGGAGGAGGAGGGAGGGAGGGGGGGATGGAGGGGAGGAGGAGGGAGGGGCATGGTGTCGTTCTGCGACGGCTGTCACCGACGCCGCTGCGTCACAAGACCAACTGTATCTACGCAGGCCTTAACACGAGGTGGGTGGTGGTGGGGGCGAGGAGGGAGGGGAGCGATGGAGGGGGAGGACGGAGGGGAGGAGGATGGTGTCATTCTGGCGATGGCTCTGTCGCACGCACAGAGCCCTGGCGTCACTAAGACAACTATCTACGAGCTCAACACGAGGTGGGTGTGTGGGGCGAGGGAGGGAGGGGAAGGATGGAGGGAGGGGGGGAGTGGAGAGGAGGGGAGGAC